TGCTGTAGCTATGACAGCTTGAGGATATTCCACAAATAATAAAAAACATGATCCCTTCCTACAAACTCTGATCATTCTGAAGCATCTTTAAAGCTGTGTTGTAAAACAGTATAATGACTTTATATAACCATAAAGTCCCTGCTAGGGTTTCCTTAAGAAACAAACTAATTTTATGATTAAGGCCCACGGACCTTGACATCAAACCAGCAATTCACTGCTGCAAGGACTTACTACTCTCTGTAGCTGCTCAAAGCACAGTTCTGAATTAACTTCTAAGACCAGAGCTTGAAGGCAGTAAACAACTTTAACCTTTTCTTGACCCCAGACACATCTCACAAACAGGAATTCAGTAAATAAAATATTTCACTTTAACCCATGTGCAGATATTCTGAGAACTACTTCATTCTCAAATTTCTGAGTTTTAAGAAAATGTTTATACTAACAAGTGGGCAAGCATTACAGTACTTGTTCCAAAGGGCCAGCAGGTAAGGTTCATAGAGAAAAACAGAAATAGGAGAGACCTGCAATCGTGACAGAATTAACCCTTGCAGCTGTGAGGTCTGTTGGGTCATCTGCAGAGCACAGAGTGCAGAGCTCCAGCAAATACATATTCTTCCAACTAAACCTCCATAGCACCTGATGTTCTGCTTGTGACTTCTGGTATCCATCTCCTATCTGAAGTTTGGGATTCACAGGAATGATCTAGGAGATGGAGAATTTCCACATCTTTAAATCACTGGAGTAATTTATCTAAGTATCTTTAAGGATGTGATTGTATGCATTGTAAGGGCTCATGATTTTATTAAAATATTTAGTGTACCTCTTTAAAGTTCCAACTCTGGAATTGTGGTCTAAATAGAAATCTGCTTTCAACTTTTTTAGTAGGAATTTTGAGTCTTCCTGGTTAGGCAAGACATTAGTTCTTAAAGATCAAACAGAGACAAATGAAAATAATTTGTTCCCATTTAGCATTTTATTAAAAAAAAAAAACATTCTCCATTTGAACTAATAAATAGTGAGGAATCATGACTTCTAGATTTTTGGGATTGCCAGTACAGGAATCATATGTCCCATCACCACATACTGAATCTGCCCAAGAAATCCTCTGCAATTTAAGGAATTATTAAACCTATTTTGTTGATAGGTTTCTCCACATCACATGGGACTGCACGCAATCAATCAGTATTTCATTTCCATACCCCTTACTGCTCCCCCAAGAGAGCCAGAATTCCCCATGTCAGTTATCCTATCCTAAGGCAGATCCCCAGCCTCTTGCAGCTCTTTGAACTAAGGAGGCTGGGTATATCCCACCTGGATCTGGCCCAGATGCTTTATTTCTATTGCATGAGATGATTAATTATGTGGTTTCTTTCTGTTTGTCTGATAGAAGCTGAGGTAAGAGAATGATGGTTGCTTAGTGCACTGTTATTAAAAAGCTGCTTTTGATAGCCCTGAACAGGCTTGAGTTGTGTGCTACAACTAATCATAAAGCTGCTTGCTTGGAAATGTAATGCTTGTTAATAGTACACTGTACTTTTATAAGTAAACGAAATTTTGATTGGCTAGAGTTTAACTGTAATTAGTAATTAAGGGTCAGCCATCCAGTAAACTCATTAGTTTACACCAATTACATTTGGTATAGTAACTAATGATTTCAGGGATCAAGCCATTTATTTCTAAGCTTTCAAAGTATAATTATTGTGTAAATCAGATAGAGTGTAAATCTTTTCCATACGTTTTGGTTGGTAATTGAGAAATAAAATGGTTTCCAAATGTATTCTCTGTCCAGTTTTTGTTCTGCAGTAGATCTCTCTGGGGACTCTTTAAAGTATATGGAAAAGGTGATGTCAACAGAAGTGTACGCTGGGCAAACTGAAACAGGATTAATTAATAGAGATGAAAGAGAAAAGCCAGCCCCTTGCAAATCATGGTCCAGGTCTCAACTTGGACCTTACACCTTAAAATGATAGTTTACAATCTTAAGCGTGAGTCACACAGATTGACAAGTATTCAAAATAGAAGAGAATTAAAAGTCCTTTATGTTTAATGTATAAAGGCCTTTCCAATATGCAGTCTTTAAGATGGTGTAATCTCTGGAGCATTTTGCTTTGAAGTTTAATATGTAGCTCCTCACATCCACAGAACATTTTCAACACGTTAAACAAATTAGTCTCTGGTTACAGAAGTTTTTAGATATTTACAAGTTGCCGTTTAACTAAATTTAATATGTGCCAGTGAAGTTGCTCATGCACTTGTTCATTTAGAAAAATGCACTTTTGGAATGATTAATAAATAACCCAGCCTTTCCTATGCCTTCAACTTTGGTGTTTATTTGAAAGCAATTTACTTTAAAAAGACATTAATATCCCTAGAATTATTATTAGAGTAATTGCTTTTACTCTTCTTGGAACACACATTTTTTCTCATTTCCCTTCAGCTCAGACAGCTTTTGACTCAGATATAAGCTTCCTATTATTTTTCCCCACTCCCCACCCCAAAAATGAAGAATAGGAATTATACACTTTTCACTAAGGAATAATTAATTTGTCTCAAGTATTAGAACAGAGAATTGTAGAATGACTTTGAATGGTAGTCTCTAAGGAATAGCATTGTTTGTTCTCTTCAGTCTTTAATGAGCTTTAGTAAATGGCCAGGAAAAATTACCTTCTTTCTGTAATATGAGAGAAGCGAAGAATGAAGGAAGCTATAGAATCTCGAGGAGAAAAGGAGCAGCCACACAAACACACACACACACCCTGTACCACATCACTTCTAATGGTTAGAGTTCTTCTTTGGAGCTGAGCACTAGAGCTCTAGTTTTCCATTACAGTTAAAACATATAATGTCCCTGATATTTTTGTAGGAAAGAAAATTCCTGGATGTCTCCCACACACTGACAGTATCTGGCTTATACTGGGGGACAACTGCCTATAGCCGAGTTCTGGAAGTCATTCTGGCTTTCTCTGTCTTGGCATTTATTTTGTATTTTAAGACTCTTTAGTCTATTTTTATTGTATTTCCACCTTTAAAAGCATTTGCCTTGTAATGCTCCAGTGTGCTGCCCTGTCTTTTAATAGAATTCTTTTCCCCCCACCACATATTTGCTGCCACTCCTATCCAGACCGGTAACTGAGGCAGCACTGGCAGGTGTGTGTTTCAGCTACAGCTACAAACCTGCCACCATGGATAACAGAGTGGAGGAGCACACTTCCCTCCCCTCCAGTCTCCACACGTCCTCACTGTGTCAAATCAGTGGTGCTGAGGCAGCTCCATGGCTGCTCTGGGGTATGAGGGAACTGACCCATGGCAGCCAAGTGAGCTCAGCACAGCTCTAAAAGGATCTTGTTGAGCAGGGTCTTTCTCCAGTCCATCCTGTTGGAGCTGTTCCAGCTCATATGGAGTAATTAAATGGATTAAATTGATTGGTCTGTGTGGTTGTTCTCAAAGCACTACTGACAGCAAGAAACCTGGGGTTTGCTACTGTCTTCCAGGGAATGCCTCCATACTTGCATTTAAGTATTGACTGGGGTGGGTGCTGGCAGACGTGGTTTCCCCAGGCAGGTGAGTGTCTCCACTTCAAGACTGAAAAGTCAAGCTCAAGCTTTCCCACTTAAAGGGCTCAGGTCACGCTCCTCACAGAAGAGTTGATAATCTCTTGGGTAGGGTGCAAATTCAAGGGGCAAGAGATTCAAGTTCAAACTGCCTCAGGCACAGCCTAAATACAAGTCTCCCATATCCTGGCTGCACTGCACCAGGAGACCAAACCACAAAGCTCAGGAGAGGAAGATGGGCACAGGAGCAAGGAGGAGAGACGTGCAAGAGGCGACAGTGCTGTCATTATTATTCTGTGAGAAAAACCTGGCACAGGTGTGCAGTTCCTAGAAAGCGGCAGAGCAAGCGTGGTAAGTAAAGCAACACACAATGTTACAACACCTTAGTCTGATTGTGGCTTTGGATAATGGGAGGTGCTCTCATGGCAGACATCAGATTGCTGACTAGAGCTCAGGGTCACGAGGGATGTGAAGGGAGATGATGAAAGTGGGGAGAGCTGCCTGGACCCATCCCAGACATTCAGGGAAAAGATAAAAGTAAAAAGTGGCTGCCAAAGTAAAAATAATTTCTACAATGGGCTCTCTTCAGTGCAATTGTTGGAGAAGAATAAATGGAGAAAGATGGTTGAAAGATAGATAGGAGACAGTGAGAAAGGGACTAGTAAGTGAGGCAGAAATGTTGGAAAGAAGACAAAGAGGAAGACACATCAGAGAGCAACAGGAAGATTGGACAAAGAAAATTGAAAAAAAACATTACTTACCAAGACACTTCACCTCTCATTGCCTCGATCTGCTGGCAAGAAAATAATAACAGTAAGAGAATCACAGAGCATTGCAGTGACTTTGAACTCCATAAATATTTAGGAGACATTTAAGTGTCCTGTTGATTGGGATTGTGTTAAAAAGAGAGCAGGAAAATTTAAGAAAATGTTTTGACATTGGACTATCAGGAGGAAAAAAAGGAACAGGACTTACATGCTTAATTTTATATGTGTAACAAAGTATTAAAATCCACACCCAGAACACTTATGCTTCTTAATAGTAGAAAAAAATTGAGCCTTTTTCAGACCAGAAAGAACACATGGTTTAAGGCATGCAGCCGCTCTTTCTTCAGTAACAACCCACTGTACCTCCTATAATTTATTTCTCCCAAGATCCATTTGAACATCTGCAGTATCATTATTTGAGTTTGTTATACTATTAGCTTTAAAATTTTATAAGCCATACAGTAGGATAGGTGACAAGTTTAAAAGTTAAGGAGGGTTAATTTAAAAGTTTTAAAGCAAAGCTATTTTTGAGTTATATAAGTAAAAAAAAAAAGCATCTGAATCCAAACTTCCATGGTTACATTTAAGTAACTCAGAAACTGCTGAAAGGATTTTCTTCGAACTTCACTCAAGACAAATCCCTCTGGGCTAAGACCAAGCATGAGAATTTAACTCAAAAGGTGATTGTTGTCTGAAGGGAGTTTTCTTTTTCCTTTTTTGTTCCCTTCCCTTTTTTTGCTTGTTTTGTTTTAAATGTTGTGAAAAAAATAAATAGCACTAAAAAAAGTAAGGGTCTGGAGTGTAACTGTTTCATATCCATTTTGTCATTATAGGAAGAAAGAAGCTGTGCGTTAAACTATCTTTTCATTAAAAGCAGATCTCCTGCTTTGCCTTCAGCCCTTCTAGCAGCCTTGGTACCCACCTCTAGTGAGCATTTGATAATGCTGTGACTGGTGGCTGAACAGAGAAGTATCAAGCTGTACTCTCAGCCCCATCTGCAGCTCCTCTGCATGCCTCAGCAGCTCGGAGCAGCTCTGATCCTGAGGACTCTCCCTACCAGGAAGCCTTCGAGAGCAGACAATCAGCTCTGCAGCACTCTTCCCTTTGCTTCCCCATCCCCAGTTCATGGGAGGTGAAGCGTGCTCTGTACCTGGATGCTGACCCAAACCATGTCTCCATTTCTTGCTGCTCTAAGATTTGGAAGGCAAGAAAGGCAGCCAGCAGTCAGGCTTTTCTCACTCACTTTTTAAAAAAAAAAAAAAAAAAAAAGGCAGTGGAATTTTTTTTCTCCTTTTCATTTCAACTCTCTCCCACATTTTGGTTTCTACAAATTGTCCCAGGGCAGACAAGAGCCTTTCCCTCCCCCTTCTACCAGGCTTGTTTCTGATTTTCTGGCAGCACATCCCAGTTACTCACTCATTTGTTTGTTTGTTTTTCCATTTGCAACTTTTGCCCCCTCCAAAGAGCTGGCTTGCCCAGGGAAACTACAGTAACTTATTTCATTGCAAATGCATTCAGAAAGGCATTTTAATTGTTTATTTTAATTTAGAGCAGCATCCACATTTGGAATTTGTGAAAAACTGAAGGGGAACATTTAGAATGTATTTGCTACAATAATTCACCAGATTCAACCCAGGCAACTCAGATATATGCAGAATCACCTTCCCTTGCCCTTCTTCCATATACATGACCTGGATTAAAAGCTGCTTTGGGCAAGGACTAACCCATTGTTTGTGGCCCTAATACAATGTGGCAATACTGTAACACCTAGGGATTTGTTTCAGGAGATTCTGATTTTGGAATCAATATTCATGATTCCTAATGACTGCTAACAGTGAACAGTGGGAAATATAGCTGAAATGGGCACATAGAGATGCATCAGGAATCCATAGTCTTAGATTCAGTTCTTTGTTTTAATTTTGGGGAAGTCTATTGTGGCAAAACAGAGAGGCCTTTGAGTTGATACCAGGATGTGGTAGCCTGCTGCAGAGGGATAAGCACCTCCTAAAAGCTTGCAGCTGTACCACCCTACAGGCACAGGCGAATTTTGGCAAACATTGCTTAAATATTGTGATTTGTTTTTAAAAGTTTCTCTGTTTTTTCCAATCAGAAAGCATTTCCATTCATAAATGTCCCATCTACTCTCCACCACCAAATTCTGGGTATCATTTTTCAGTCAGCAATTGGCATTCAGCACTTCTAGCTGTCTGCTGCTATCTCATTCATACAGCTTTTTCATTACAGGTCAATATTATCTGACTAGGCTCAGATTAAATCTTAATACACCGTTCATCTGAAAAACACCAACTCCAAGCACATTGAAAAATTGCAAACATAAACAGTATAGTTTTCATGGATGAGAATCTATTAAAATGTTTTCCAAATGGAAGAGTAGCAGGAAAAAGAGGAATGTGAAGTTATGATCACAAAAGAGAATGCCCCTTTTTTCAGCCAGGATTTTACGTAAGAGTGAGAACAAATGTGGCAAAGAGAAGAAAGGTTTGTCTCCTCACTTCTGCTTCTCTAGCAAAGATGATTTTCACATCAGCCATGGTAAAATTAGACAGAGGAATAGCAGATCTGAATATTGTATGGGAAGATGTGAAATGAGGAAGAGTTCAGTGCAGTTCAAAGATTGCAAAGTATAATGAAGGTAAGTGGAAAGTAAGAGCTGAAACTGGAGGAGATGAACTGAAGGAGCCTAATAGGAAGACCCAAGTTTAATTAATAAAGACAGACCAAGCAAGCTGAACAAAGAAGACTCATTTAAAATGTCAAGATATATATTTACTTCTGGCAGCTAAAAATAAAGGCAACATCTGTAGAAAAAACATGGAAGTTGAGGGGTGCAAGATTGGATTCAAGGATGGTAGTGCTGTGAAAACCTGAGACTACAGGAAAGCTCCTCTTGGAGATGACAGCACTGGCACTGTTTCCAGTGCTTATTGCTGTCTTCCAAGAACCCAGCATACTGCTCCATTAGCAAACGGGATCACAAATCACCTAATCTGCTTAAGCTAAGGCAGCCAGAGTCATTTCACCTGGTGATAAACATGGATATGAGCTAACCAGGCCGGCTTTACTTGTAGTGCATTAGGGAATGCTTGCTTGGCCTCTTCTGACGGCAGAGATACAGGGAGGGACCGGAGCAAGCAGCAAAATGTGGTGCAGTTTTGAGCTAGTAAAGGGTGTCTAAAAGCACTGGTGAAGATATTTGTTTGGACTAGGTGAAAACATAAACATGAAGACTGGAACCAATATAATCTTAAGGTTGAATAAAACTCAAGGAAAAAGTTATCATCAGTAATACAGAGAGCACAAAAATATCATCTTTCTACATCTCACTGATATGAGTAAGAAACACTTGCATCAAGTGAATTGGTAGAGTTAGGAAGCACACAAAAAACTAAGGTTTCATACCAATAATTTACTCCTACCAGAGTGGTTCTGTTCTTCAAGGTAGGTGGATCATGAGAAGTTTGTTTCACTTCAGCTATTCCTACAACAAATCAAAGAGAGAACAAGAATTTTAGTTCTAAAAGTAGAGATATTTTAGAAACATTAAAATAACATATTAAACTGAAGCATGGAAATATCCTCAGTAGCCACCCCTGTGTTGCTCCCTATAATTATAGCTGAGAATCACAAATACATGCATTTTTGAGAGGCCACCCCTTCTGTATTTTTAGGAGGTCTGAAGCTCTAAAACTTTTGCCATTAACTTCATCTTCCACGTTATAATTTATATTGAGGCCCTTAATATCTGACTCAGTAGGCCTTCTGTTGTTTAGTTTTCCACTATTTATCTCCTTATTTTGGCTGCCTCTCCTTCACATTTCTGTAAAATTCAGCTGAAACCAGTAGTTCCTGTTACTGGTACTTTGCATTGCAAAAATTAAGCAGCAGAATTTGCAATACCAGTCGTTCACAGAACATTCTTATACAGCACATAATTTGCCAACAGCTAAATTAATCTTGCTTCACAATGTGAGGCTGTGTACATGTGGTTTCTGATACAAAAGGCTCCAGTGAAATCAACAGTATGGGCATCATATTAACTCAGAACCAGCTTCTTCAGGTCCATGAGGCATAGTCACGTGCCTGCTAATTTAGAGCTCAAAGGTAAGCAAGAATCTCAGCTCTCCTTTTTAAACAGTGTGAAGTTTCAATCCAATTTACCTTGCGTAGATGAAAACATAAATCAGTAGCTGGTCTCCACTGCACATACTAATTTAATGAGCTGGGGCTTTGACCACATGTGTGTACATGGGAACCTGAAAACCTTTCCCTCTACAGTGCATTAGGTTTGGATACTTGCCAAAGAACTATCTATAAGCTCAAGGGAATGGGGAAAAGCACTCTGGGCCACCAGTCAGCACCGGGGTCTAAAACAAGGCTATGAGACGTACCAGAGACGTACCAGCTGATGATCAGTTGAAGATATTCAAGAGCAGCTGCACGTAGCACCAGAGCCCGGACAGCAGCCCCAAAACATATCTCAGGACAGTGTCTAGGGTCACCACAGCTCAGCTGGAAAGGGCTGGGTCCAGTACAACACAGAAGATCTGGAGGAAAGTTCCAAGAAGAGGGTGACACAAAGGTTTCCTCAGACCTACATTTTGGCTCATTGCCTAAGGCACTACAAAACAAAGCACATTTGGGGTTTTTTCCTAGTAGATCTTCAAAAAAAAGGTGTGTAATGACAACTCTGTCAGAATGCAAAACAAAGTTTATAATAAAAAGACAGAGGATAAATATTCATGCACAGCCAAGTCTGCTTTGGCACCATTCACATTGTGTAACTTTAGTTGACCTGACAAGACTGTGACCTGAAATACAGACTCCAAGACAGCAGTGTCTCCTCAACTTCTGTCTCCTCTCTGTCTTGTCCCAAAGACCACTGACCCATAGGGATGAAGCCTTTCATTTATCATTCTTGGACCTCCATGCATCTGAATCCATTCACAAACAGCTCCCTTCTGCAGTACTAGTCTAAATCAATTCTCTTCACACACTTGTCCAGACAACAACTCATTCAGTCCCAAACTGTTCTTCCAGACGTGCAAAACAGTGAAAATAGACTTCTCTGAGTAGATGTTCCTGAGCAGATAATCTTAAAAACATGACTACAAATGTCAGGTCTTTGGCTTCACAGAGAAAATCAAGATAAAGCCAGGAAAAAGCAAAATAAAGGCAATGGCTATGGGTACAGCATGGAAAACCAAAATGCTGCTGGAACATCAATTCATCATACAAAAACAGAGATTGCAAGGCACATTCAGATAGGACTAGTACTGGTCACCTCTGGTTATGGTTACACTCCTCTCTACAACAAGAAGAATGAAATCAATGTCAGATTTTTGCTTAGGTGTCAAAGGAAAAACAAAATGATATTAATAATCTCTGAGAATGTGAACAACAGAATTAGTAATTTATGCCTAAAATTAATTTAAAAGCATGCGTATCTTAGCTTATCAAATCATACTTACTAAAAAGAAAAAATGAGAAGTTCTGTGATGTGAGAACAAGTTATACTAGGAATGGAATGTCAGGACATCCCCAGCCTATGGGATGGGATGGGATGGGATGGGATGGGATGGGATGGGATGGGATGGGATGGGATGGGATGGGATGGGATGGGATGGGATGGGATGGGATGGTCATCTGCTATCAACATCTAGGAAACCTGCTTCTGGTGGAAAGTTTACTTGCAGCCTCTGTCTTTGTTAGAGTAACAGACTTTGGCTCTTATTGCTCTGGTTCTATCCATAACTTTGGTTCAGAGTGCCTCAAATATAGGCCTTGTGAGGACCCAAGTTCACTGCCCTCTAAAAGGGGGTGGTCCTCTATGCTGGGGTCTCTTGGTGCAGTCATGCTGAAATCAAAATAACTTCACACAGGGCACAGGAATCCCTGTTGCCAGGTCCCAGACCATAGTACAAATAACACTTGTCTAGAAAACACACACAGGTTTTCTGCCTTGAAGAAAAGCCAGCAGAAACAATTTGATTATATTTCTCCCTTAGCTACACAAGAGTGTAATTTATTTTTGCATATTTTCATATGCAAAGTCACACTGGACCCAACAGTGCAAGTATCCCCTTCATTCTCTTGGTGATTTCTTATTAGAAATGTTACCAGAAGGTAAATACAATGTACAGGAAGTTTTGCTGCAAAGTAATGAGGTTTCAATACCATACCACACCATACCGACAACACAGAAATATTTTAACAGGTTAAGAATATTTTTAGTAATTACAAAGAAACTGAAAGAAAAAGCATTCCCCTTAAGCTGACAACATACATTTTATACAGAAAGAGACAAGATACGAGACCATGAAAATTGTACAGACACAAATATTTGAGATGTATCTGAAAGGCAGAAAAAATATATTAAAATGATCGTTGATTGAGCAACATGGAAAAAATTCTCTCAGCAGGAAAAAACAGATTTTTACAGGTCTTTGAGAAAGCAGAACAGACACTATTTGTGTGGCAATAAATAACACTTTCCCCTGAAATTTTACAGCCACGTCTAGATATTGATGACTGTCTATTTTGATATAGCTACTATTGTTTGGGTTTTTTTTTTTTTTACAGATAGAGAAACTAGGTTTCCAGAATGACCAGGAGACTTTACTAAGGTCAAACAGTAAGTCAGGGACAAAGACAGAAACAGACTAGTTCTTCCCAATCTTACTCTCAGTCTACCCCATTAACAGATTGTACAACCATGAAAAATGATCTTTTCTCTGTGAAAAGGTAGATTTTGCAAGGAAGATAACAAGTTCCACCCGTCTCTCCAGCTGATACTAGCAATAGTGAAAATTTCATTCTGCAGAAAAACTGCCGATGCAGCACTTGTAAAAAACCTCCAAATTCATGTGCAGATCAGAAACTGCCGGAGCGCTTTCAACAGCTGCAGCTACCACACACTTGCAGAGAGTCATTTGAACTCATCAGATCTGACTGTGGGGCAGACAGCAAAGCCCAGATGGCTCGGCTGTACACAAAGCCCTCAGCCTCACGTGGGATGAGGCACGGCGTGCCTGGGGCCCCGCAGATTTTCTGGGCGCCAGGTTAGGCTGGGGGAGCCCAGAGCGGCAGCCCCAGCGGCCGCCCGCGGTGCGGCTGAACGGGCAACGCCGGCAGGACACACACACGTGCAAGCGTTTAAATAGTTGTTATTGGGGACTACACGAAAGCCTACAATAGACATTTTGCCTTGGGATGTTTTCACTGCTCTGTTGCAAAAAAAGCAATAAAAATATGTGCTAGTCTGAGGGCTCTTTTTCTTGCTTAACCAGCCCCTTTATTATTGCCCAGCTTCTCTCAGTACATACCCTTTCTCCTGACAAGCCTGTACTGCTCCAAAGGGCAAGGCTCGTATCTCAGGCAGGGGTTCCCGACACACGCATTTTCCGTGCCTGCCTTCACTCTAGGTCAGACTGCGATGGATTGGAGGGTGCCTGTCCACAGGCCTGTACAAAGCTGACCCCTTCAGCCGGACCAGGTACGTGGCCTGGCTGCCCAGGGTGAGTGAGAGCCGTGCCAGCCGCGCATCCAGCCCCACCGCTGGGAGCACCCACAGCAAAAGAGCTTCCAGCAGCGCCGGCCGTCCACATCCCCGGCAGAAACCAGCTGGAGGAAGCTTGGAAAGCCCGGCCTTTTTATTCTCCAGAATTAAGACTTTGATTAGCTGCTGGCACAAGACCAAAACTTCATCTGAAATGCTTTAGACAACCCATCTGCACTGGGTTTGGGAGTCTGAGGAGCGCATGCTGCGGCCCGCTCCTCAGCCGTGCCAGGCGGAAAGCAGGGGTGAGGAGCGGCTGGGGAGCAGCGCCCAGCGGCAGCGCTCCCCGCGCCGCCGCTCCGGCCGCCCCGCCCGCACAGCCGCAGCCCGCGGGGCCCGCCCGCGGCCCCGCGCCCACCCCGGGGGCGCAGGCAGCCCTGGGGAGCCTGCGCTCCGCTCCCCCTGCACCCGGCCAGGCCTGCGGGTCCTTCCCTCCCCTTACCCTCACAGACCCCTGTGGTTCTTCACGAGCACCTCATGATAAATTCCATCATTATTCAGCTCTTACTACCAACACCAAAATACATTGCTCAGAGTAAGTTAGCCGAGATTCATTAGAATGAGACATCTAGTAGGCACATGTGCTTTATTAGCCTCTTACACCAATAGTTTTAATTAGGTACATATTTCACAACTCTGAAGCTGCTCGAGTGAAGGGCTCCTTTTATCTCTTTTATTTACAGTAACAAGCTATCAAACAAATACCACCATAATTAAACTCAGATGAAAAAAAAAAAATTTTTCACTAATGGTGACCTACTCAAGCGTTAGACTTGGTAAACTTTGGATTTTCAACTGCTGAAGGAAACACCCTGCAGGCGGAGAGGGCGCTGGGGCGGGTGTCCCTGGCTCCAGCCCTGCCTCCATGTCACCTTCAGGTGGGGAGGAGAGCGCTGCTGCGGGTAGAGACCGCGGGGATGAGAAAAGTGATTAAAATCCAGAACGTTGCTAAATTATTAATGAGGAATTTAAATGATGTTATAAAAGAGGAAAATACAGGCGAAAATGTTACACATTCATGGAATTTTTACTCATGCATAATAATAAGTTGAAAACACTTTCGTTCTAATGCTTCCGAAATCGCAGGGCGGGCAGGGGAGTGGGCGCGATGCGCTTCTCGGGCCCGCCCGCCCTCGCGCCACTCGGCGAGCAAGCGCGCCACCTGGCGGACGCTGCGGCGAACGGCGCGCGGGGCCGGTGATGGCGGGGCCGCGACGGGCTCTGCCCCGGGGCCGCGA